AAATTCTATAACTGCAAATGATGTGGTTCTGTTTGCTCTGAAACCATATTGGTGTTCATAGAGTATGTTATGTTTGGTGAAGAAGTCATTTAGTCTTACATAGTAGATTTTTTCCAGTATTTTAGAAAACTGTGGGAGCAATGAAATTGGTCTATAGTTTGACAGTACATGTTTATCTCCAGATTTATGTATCGGTATGACTTTAGCAGTTTTCATTTTATTTGGAAATACACCGGTTTGTATTGACTGATTACAGATGTGAGTTAGTGGTTTGGCTATACATTCAATAATGTTTTTAACTGTATACATGTCAATATCATGACAGTCTGTAGACCTTTTACTCTTTAGTTTTTTAACTGTGTCAATAATTTCATTTTCATCAGTCCCTCTTAAGAATATAGTTTCCTTCACATTTATATCTTTACTTTCTACACCTTCACTACTACCAGTATTTGGAATTTCCCCAGCTAGACAAGGACCAACATTAACAAAATACTCATTAAACTGTTCAGCAACTAAGGTCATGTCATAAATGACTGTATTGTCTTTTGACAGAAAACTGTTTGGGTGCTGTGCTTTTCCATTTCCTTTTTTAATAATGGTATTTAATACATTCCATGTGTTTTTAATATTATTTTTGTTATCTTCCAATAATTTGTTGTAATGATCCATTTTGCTACATCGTATTATCTTTGTTAATTTGTTTTTGTATGTCTTGTATTTTTGTTCAGCCTCTACTGTTCTATTCTTTAACAAGTCTTTATATAATTCATTTTTCTTTTTACAAGCATTTTCTATTCCCTTAGTGATCCATGGTTTTTCAGCATATTTTTGTTTCACAATTTTCTTTACACGAGGACAATGTTTTTCATACAGCCCTGATAGAATATCTAGAAATGATTCATAAGCTTCATTTACATCTGGTACATACACTTTGTTCCAGTCTTGTTTACGTAATTCTTCTTTAAAAGAATTAACAGACTCTGGTGTTTTGTGTCTTGTAATTACGACTGTTCTGGTGTCTTTTTTGATCCTAATACAGTTCTGTATTGTTGCAAAGACTGGCAAGTGATCACTTGTGTCATTTATTAATATTCCACTTATTACTTTCCTATCCATAACATTTGTGAATATGTTGTCAATGAGTGTAGCACTGTGTGATGTTATTCTGGTCGGTCGTGTGATTGTAGGATATAAACTGTTGCTATACATAGAATTAATAAATTCTGTAGTTGCATTGTGTTCTTGTGGGTTCAGCAAATCAATATTAAAATCTCCACATACAAAAAGCATTTTCTTGCTGCTTGTGTAGTTATAAAGTTCAGCTAGCTTTTTCTCAAATGTGTCAACACATGATCCTGGTTTTCTATACACGCAGCTTATCAGAAGGTTTTTAGATTTTTTGATTTCAATTTCTACTGTTATGCATTCCATGATGTTGTCTAAAGCAAAAGACATATTACTGACAGATCTACTTTTATAACTTTTGTTAATATAAAGTGCAGTCCCCCCAGCTTTAGAATGAGTCCTATTAGTAAAAAACATGTTGTATCCCTCGATTTCAACCATGTCAGCTTGCTCATCACTAAGCCAGGTCTCTGATATTGCTAGGGCTGTAACTTGTTTCTCCAATTGCCTTAAACAGTGTTTGATCTTTGATACATTTGAAATTAGGCTTCTGCTATTGAAATGTAATATTGATATTGCTCCATCCATCAATCCATTTCTTTTGAGTTGATCTTCTGTGTAGTATTCACATTGGTTATGGATGTTCTTGTAGAAATTATTTTCAGGGTCAATATCCTTTTCAATGTCTTGCGATTTATGTTCCGTGTATTTGAAACATTTCAAGTCCAGTTTTTTATATTCAGCAATTTTGTCCAAGCTTATCATGGGTGTTCTTAGTGTGTTCATTTCAGTGTGTAGCGATTGAGTTACCTTATGTTGATTTTGATGTTTCATTCATCAAACTGATCCAACTCGGTGATGTCCCTGATAATGAGCACTTTCGCCATCTCTGCTGTTGATCCGTTTAGTTTGATGAAAATTTTACAATTTGTCGACCATGTTGCTTGAATCTTGTTTTGTTTCTTCAGTATACGTGCTCTCCTTGCGATGTCCGCGTTCTTCTTCGTAAGGTGTTCGTTGATGTAAACATTGGTCCCCTTCAGTTTCCTTCCTTGTCTGAGGAGTGCATATTTCTTTTTCCTGTTGATGAACCGGATTATTATTGCTGGGGTGGCTGTTGAGTTCTTGCTCCGCAGGGCATGACAGGCCTCAATATCTCCGCTGTCAACAGATATGCCCTTGCTGTCCAAAAAGCAAAGCACCTGTTGCTCCAGCGACTCACGGTCCACCTCCGGAGCGTCGGCTCCACCTCTCCCGGCGGCGGAGTCCTCTGAGGCCGCTGCCACCCTGGCATAGCTTCGGGGTCTGGTCTTCAGACCGTTAATAATCAAATCGTTCATCCTGGTGTATTGTTCGAGGTCGTCCACTCGATTCTCCAGAAAAGTGATCTTTTTGTCCTTTTCAATATTCTGCATTTTCAGAGATTGTATTTCTCCCATCAGCTCCATGATTTTATTTTGCTGGGCCGCGACTGTTTTAATTTTGGCTGACAAGAAGTCGAGAGAATTCTTGATCTCCTCCACCTCGTCAGAGTTTGGATTTTTCCTGGGTGCCATTTTTGCTCTTTAGTTATGTTTATTAATGTTATCTCTCACGTTCTCTCAGGTTTTTGTAGCAGCACTCGATTCCATGTGTGCACTCACTTCCGCCCCATCAAACATTTGCGTGTGACACACGCTCCAATGCTCCGATGTTGTTCAATCCTTGTGAAGATCCGTCTTATTTGTGCATTTTTAAGTCAGGCTCAGGTAGGTATTGTAGGGCCATACCTATATAAGGTATATTTATACGTTTCTGTTTTCAAAATACCAGATCATGCATTTTAGCCATGCCTCATTTCGCTCTATTTGCTGTTTGCTGTCTACGGGGCTGATTCTGTGAGCTGCAGCTGACCACGCCCCCCTGCAGGAGAGGGGAGCCGTGCTCTGATCAAGTCAGAAGAGGGGGAGAAAAATAGATCTCCGTCCTCCGTGTTATTATAGGCCTATAGAGTCGTTATTCATTTGTTTTAAAGCTCAATAAATAACAAAGAAGACCTTTGACCGGCACTTTTCTAATTTTGTCCGGAAGATTTAAACTTTAACGGACATCTTGACCGGCGAAAGAAAACTGAAACTCTGCCGCACGGTCCCCTCGTTCCTTGGAAGAGGCGGAGAGGTGGGTGTTTGTCATCTGCTGGTGGACTAACCGGAGAGAATTACAGTGCTTGCCTCGACGGGGAGGGATTGCATTGAATTAAAGCAGCGGGAGCAAACGCTTGCCTCGGGGAGGGAGAAAAAAAGCCACAGCGGAGAATAAACAGAAGGGTAACCATGGTTACCATATGCGCGGGAAGTCTTCTTCGCTGCTTTTGTGGCAGACTACAGCGCCACTTACAGGCCTGGCATATGTACTACAGCGTCTCCAGCGCTTTCGAGCGGCAATGGCCGGCCGTGGCCCAACCCCACATTCCCCTGATAGGTGGAGAGTTGGCCCAATAGCCCTAGCGCCACCGTCCTGACGTCAGTAACGTGTTCAAATCTGGATCAGTTTTTATCAGATCCGTTGCAGCCCCTTTTATAGAGATTTGGGTATGGAGGAAAATAGAGAGGGTTGTGTTTTCTGACACTTGGTGAGTTCCCTGGAACACCGGGGACACATATTCATGTATAAAAGACGTACAAAAGTGCATTTTGCATGATAGGTCCCCTTTAAAAAAAAATATTGTGTTAGATCCACTCCCCACTTATAAAAATAGCACTTTACCCCTGCACCCCCTCTAATCTCAGATGCACCCTGAGTCATTTTGTTTAAGTACAGTGAGCCTTTCTAAAATATACAGTAAAGAGACAAACCCACCAGCATATAGGATATAATATGACTGAGCCAAATTCTTGTTTTTGGGCTGTATACAGTAAATAAATTGACTTGAAACAGTTGCTGATGTAGAGTACTGGCACCTTTTTTATTCCAATTCAAGCACTGAGTATGACCCTGAAAAAGAGAAAAATAAGTGACCTTTAACACTCTGCATCTGTTCCCACATAGATCAATCTGCTAACATTTATCACTATTCTTCAGGTTTAAGGCAAATAAGTGGTTCATTACCTGAAACATGCTTCTTTTTGTATTATGTATAGTTTTCCAGTCCTTGTTTTAAAGTGTTTCCTTGGTTTTCATTTGGGGTGTGCTATACTATGTGTGAGTATTGCTGTGTCTGTTA